TGGACTGTAAACGGTTGTGTTCAGAAATTGTGAGCGGAGCACTCAAAGCCTCTGACAGCAAACGAAATGACACATTCGTTCATAATTATGTTTTTGTGAATTTGTCTTAAAACAGCTCACTGTAATTAGAAAAAGAGGCGTGAAACCAGCAAAACAAATAAATAAATCTCTACTTTGCAAAAAAAAAAAAAAATCATCAATATGTGGACGGGGGGCTTTGAACCTATCACCGGCAAAAATTGAGGGGACACTGTATACACCAGTATAATATTCCTAAATAATTAATAACTATTAACAAACTGGGTACAGTACTGGGTACTCCGGTTTCCTCTTCACATTCCAAAAATGTGCATGGTAGGTGACTTGAACACTATAAATTGTCCTTAGGTGTGGTTGTGATCGTGTATGGTTGTTTGTCTATGTGTCCCCTCCAATTGACTGGTGACCAGTTCAGGGTATATCCTGCATACTGCCCAAAGTCAGCTGGGATAGGCTCCAGTACGCCCATGATGCTCGTGACGATAAGCGATTCAGATGGATTTACTCCCGCTATTCATTGAGAAAAGGGCCCACAGGGCCCACGGATACCTAAAATCTGCATATAATTAACAGCAATCGAAATACATTGGGAGGATTTTTTTAAATTGGATTTCATACAGGAAATCAGCATCGGCATCGGCCTCAAATAATCCATATCGGTCGGGCCCTACTGTATAATTTAAAAAGTTTAATCAGCCACCATACTATGCGTTTCGCAAGGGGTTCACAGATTTAGCTTAGTGCCGCTTTGATTTGAAAGTGCTACGCTAATTTGCTCACTGTTATGACTGCAGTCTTGTCACATTTCTCTGCTCAGTGTTAATGCATTGAATTATTTCAGCAGAACTATGGAAAGCCGGATAATGGTCTTACCTGTGAGCAGTTGTTTGTTCAGATTGGCTCGGTCTACTGACAGGATGTACTAAAGCGAAAACATTGTCTCATTATTATGCTGTTCTGCAGCTGCAGCTCAACAAATAGGCAGCATATTGTTCACTGAAAATGGAAAACCAGATGCCTCTGGGCTTCATATATTAATGATAATTTCAATGTTTGTGTCCTCAGCAACATAGAAATGATCATTTTTAGAAACATAAATGGCATTTAATTGTTTTCAATTATGAACAAATATAATGACAGTAGAGTGGTAAAGTAAGTTTGACAAACCAGCTCTGTGTGTGGATGTATGGAATTATTCCGTTTTGTTGCTTCAATGCTCATTCATTTAACATGCATACAGTATACTGTACATGCATGCTCAAATGAGGGAAAAGTGAATATATTTTATCTTCAAACTGCCACCGTGCATAAGGTAAATTGTAACAATGAAGAATGGATTCCACGACGGCAATGGCGCTTGTGAGATCCAATGAATATGCAAAAATGATGAAAAACAGTGTAATTGTCATGTTGTGAATACAATAAATCATTGTATATAAAGCAGACAAGATCGTTTGACAGAATACTTATTTGTCTCAAGATGCTCTACTGTATATTTGAAGAAAAAAAATATCAGAGCGGTGCCTTGATTCTATTGGTAAAAGTGGACACTGACACTATTGTAAAGGCTCACCTGACCCTTTTTGCCATATGGAATTGGAGACTGCACACCATTTAGTGAATGGATCATTCTTGCATGCATGGGGATTCCCTGGGAAACAATCTAAAAGACAAAGCAGCAGGTTATGGCAGAAAGTCTCATCAAATTGTAAATTTAAAAAAAAAAATTCTGACATAAATGTTTCCTTAAGCATAAAAATGCATCAAAATATGTAACAAAAACATGTTACAATTGGATTATTGCATAATAAATTAGAGTTGTGCATAATGTAAAAAAATAAAGATGAGAGTAAAGAATAAAAATCATGGTTATTTAACTTTTAACTGTGTCCTCATGGTTTTTTGCCCTCTTTAGTTCATGTTCTCTCGCAGGAGTGATTTTTGCCTGCCGTTTTGTAAGGAACTGATCCATGGACGTTTGCTTTTGTCGGCTTTTAACAATCCTTCGAAAATGTCCAAGGCAAACATCAGCATAGTGAGCGATCGCCCGACTGGTAAACTGCATTTTCACCTTTCGTATCTTGACATTTCTTTCGAAACAAGAGGCAATAATTTCCTGTTGAGACGTTTCATAACTTGAAAATTTTGAATGAAGAGACGTTCGCGAGTAGAGGTACCACTGTAGTTGTTTTCCCTTCATCAATAAAATCAGATTTTCTGACTTCATGTTTCAAAGCCAAAATTGTGTTAGAAATATGAATGCTACTTGGAGTGATTATATGCATATCTTCACATATCTGATGTTCATGCCTCAGATGCTTCAATACATAAAGATACATGAATTTGTTCGACCAAGAATTCTTCATCATCAGTGGACCTTGTGCACAACAGTGCCTTAAGCATTTCTGGTTGAAAGGTCAGATGACATAACATGTTACAAATTAACGGGAGGTCATCTGACCAATGTCTTCAAATGTTTTAGAACCTGGGGTTGTGTAATAGGTACATTTAAAAGTGCGGTGCCAGTATTTTTCGAGGTTGAAATGACTTTGTTTTCAAAGATGAGTTCAGTTGTTCAGTGTTAGTTAAGTTTTGAGTTTTAACACATTTCCTTTAATGTCATTATGGGCTCTATTTTCATGACTGGCATAGATGATGTTGGCAGGTATACAGAATGAGCTGGTAAAAACCGCTTGATTTTCTCTCATAATTGAACACTCAGCTTGGTGAAGGCGATCTCCCAAATTGCCAAACATGTGCAGCAAGCTTCCGCTTGTATGAAAATCAAGATCGGCCACATTGAGCCCTATGTCCAGACACATTTCTGATGGGGTCAAGCCCCCATTAGCCCAAAGTAGGGCCATCCCTGTGGATATGGAAGCATGTCTGTTTGAAAAGGCTGATGAAATCGCCTGATCTTCTTCTTCTTCTCCTTTCGGCACGTCCCTATTCAGGGGTCGCCACAGCGAGTCAGTAATTTCCATCCTTGATGAAATCGCCTGATCTAAATTATATAAATTGTATAAGCTTAAATGGCATAGTGAAATAGTGGTTAGCATATCTGCTTCACAATCAAGAAGGGTACAAATCTCAATTTGGACCCTCCTGTGTGGAGTTTGCATGTTCTCTTATGTTTCTGTGGGTTTGTCATTCCACATTTAAAAAACATGCTTCTTGGGTTAATTAACTGTCTATCTGTGTGTAGGTTGGTTGTCTATGTGTATAGTAACATGCAATTACCCAAAATCTAATTGAGCTCTAAGAAAATAGCTGCCATGCTAATGTCCCCGCATGCCAGTTCTCGATGTCCTTCTATAGCATTAAAGTGCGTCAACAAACCTTCCCCTCCATTCCGACATGCTTGAGTGACTGACGGCCTCTGTGAGATAAAGCCAGGTTGATACTTCTCCCCTTCACGATTTTTGCTTGCCGAATATCTGGCCAAAAGTTCATACATTGACTTTATTTTGACCATTTTGTCATATTATCAGATGAAGTTTTGCTCATACCATCCCGTGTTTCAAACACATGCACATCAAAACCTCTTTTGGCGAAGAAGCAGGCATTCAGTGCACCAACCTAAAACAAAAGATGGGTGTTCTCATCACTGCCAAAAATGAGATGAAATGGACAATATTTATTGGTTTTTATACATTCATATAACTCTTACATGCTTATTCAACTCTCATGTTACATTTGTTTCTCAGGAACACCAATAATGAATGTTCCTGGGTCAGTGTGAACCAGGCTCCATTTAATTTCTCTCACTTCATTGCAAACATAAAATGAACGGTTGGCATTGCATGTTAATTACACTCATTAACATGCTACTACTACAGTGCTTTTAAATAAATTGGTTGAATTTGGCGCACAGTGTAGGCTACTAGGAGCATTAAAGCACTGTGTGACTTTCAAACGTTGCTCTGGTACTGTCAGTATGAAGCTCAAAAAAAACAATGGGTATTTACTTTCACTTTGTCTTACCAGTCCACCTCCCACCACTGCCACAACTTTTTTCTTCTTCAGGCTCTCGGTTGATTCTTCCATTCCTGCTCAGGTGGTCTCTCATTCAGTCAGGGGGTCTTGTCCACTGTCCTCTTCAGCATAACGGAGCTGAGTGCAAGGTATTTTTTAAAAGAGGAGGAGCAAAGTAAATGACATTAATGTGAGCCTTGTCAAAGTAAACACACGTTAACTCTGCCTGCCCTACATTATTTTGCTCTTTGTACTTTAACCTAATGGGTATTTTGACGGTTAGTGAGACTGTGTTTATATGAAGACAAAAACAAATAAGTGTGGTTTGTGGGGTTTACAAATGGAGGACTACATGTTTATTGTATGTTTATTGTATTTGTTTACTATCATAATCATTTTATGCATATGTTTCATTAAATCAGTTCAGAATTTTTCCGGAGACTACCTTGAGTATAGTTTGATTTGTGGAAAAACTAGACCTTGATTTGTGAGAGTAAAGAAATGTCTCCATCTAGTGGTTGCGAGTGTTGACGTCAGATGGTTGCGGATGTTGAGGATAAAGTAAAACAGAGGTTACTCTTTACTTATCAAGAAACTATCAGCAGATTAAAATAAACGTGTAATAATTTTATACTGTAGTTAGTCTTGTTGCAATGAACGGAAATGTTTCTTTTATTGATGTCTTTTTATTTTGACGCTGTAGTTTGGGGATACTGAGAAAATGTATAGTAAAATGTGCTAATTTTGCAGACTTCTGCAAGTCAAATATAAAAAGGAATGAAAGGAAACCAATATTTTTAATGTCATAAGAACGCAACTATTGTCAACGCTGCCTATTTAGACTAAGCAATTCGGTCAGTGTCGCAACATACTACGAAATTCATGACGACGTTATGTTAAAACAGCACGTTGTATATAAGAAGTACGTGACCATTTGTCTGCTGGCAGCTGTGAAAATGCCGGTGAACGCAGGACAAGACAAAGCTTTGAAACCAGACCTGTCCATTACACTCGACGTACAGGCTTTGTAATCGATATACGCGTCAGTAACAACAATGTATTGGTTCATAATATTTTGCGCGTGTTAGGAACAAATTTTAATGACCTTTCAAGTTAGACCTAATTGTTACAAAAGTAAATGTTGGGAGATTTAACATATATCACAAGTTTTCGCTGACATCTGAGATCGACTGCTTCTGACTGAATTAAGATGGTGGTGTGAGAGGAAAGGTTTGTTGTTCATGGGTGCAAAGTATGTTTAAGTGCATCAAACGAACGGCGCAGTGCACGATCTATTTACAAGCAGCTGGAAGCGGTCCCCATCTCAGCAAAGAAATTACGTAAGTGTTGACTGGTGACTTATGCAGTTCGAAGACGTAAGTGTGTTGTCAACGCATCGAGTCAAGCTAGCTAGTCCTTGCTACTGAACTAATGGAAGGCACCGGTCGGGGCCGTTAAGCCGGGTGGTTGACCTCGGCGACCCATCTTAAGCATTGCAATGTTGCTTATTAAATTGTCTGTCATGTATCAAGTTTGGTGTAAAGACTCTAAAGCATCAGTACGTTTTATATATATATTTTTTATCACAGAACTGTATAATACAATGCGATTGCTGCTTAGTCACGATTGTTTCACGCGTGATGGCCCAACATTCATTGTCGGTGAGTCATTTACTCACTCACTCCACAGTGGATGGCTCCCAACATCCCAACATTACAGTTCTCTGTCATGAAAAGTGCTTAAATTGTGAAATATAAGTATTAATTGAAGGCGTATGCTGTTGTAGTGTCCATAGTTAGAATGATCCTCACCTCTGGAATAAACTCCCGAATACCTCAGGTCTACTGAAACTGTCATTTAAATCAGGGCTGGAAAAAATATTGTTAACTGTAGAATTCTCATGAATCGAACCTTTATTGTCCTGTTTTAATCCTCATTTGCACGTTATTTTTTAATCAATACTAATGCTTCATTTGAATCATTTTAATGTAATTTTAGATGATTTTCTGATAATTCCCCCCCCCCCAATGTTTTGATATTTTGTTTGTCTTTATGTAATGCTTTTAATGTTTTATGTAATGCTTTTGGAATTATTTTCTTCATGAAATGTGCAGTACAAATAACTTGTCTTGCATACCCATAGAGTTACTAACTTTGCAGTTATCTGGCCAGGTATGTACTGTTTGGGTTATTTTCCAGGGGCCTAACATTTTCTCTCACGGTACAAATGGAATCCCTTCACAGTAAATTTAAGTGCAAAAAAATTATAATTGCAGTAATTGTGAATGTCCAGGTATGTACTGTTTGGGTTATTTTCCAGGGGCCTAACATTTTCTCTCACGGTACAAATGGAATCCCTTCACAGTAAATTTAAGTGCAAAAAATTATAATTGCAGTAATTGTGAATGGGTTGTATAACCCCTAAGTAAAACTAAACTCATTAAAAAAACAACAACTAACTAAGATAATGTCATCAAGAGAACAGTTTTAGAAGGCACTGTTTTAGAAGAAGCTAGGCTGTTGTAACATGGAGAATGTGGCTTGGCATTGTCTTGCTTAAATAAGCACGAATGTCTCTAGAAAAAAAAAATGCTTGGATGGCAGCATATGGTGCTCCAACACCTGTAATATGCTTTTCAGCATTAATGCTTCCTTTACAGATGTGCAAGTTACCCATGCCATGAGCACTAACACACCCTCATACCATCACATATGGTGTTTTTTTTAACTTTATGCTGGTAATGGTCTGGCACAGAGGACATGACATCCATGATTTCCAAAATCATGTTGAAATGTGGACTCGTCAGATCACGGCACAGTTTTCCACTTTCCCTCAGTCCTTCTCAGATGAGCTAAGGCCCAGAGAACCCGGCAGCGTTGCTGGGTGTTGTTGATATATGGCTTTCACTTTGCATGGTAGAGTTTTAACTTGCATTTGTAGATGTAGTGACAAACTTTGTTCAGTGACAATGGTTTTCTCAAGTGTTCCTACATGGCAATAATGCCAGTTTTTAATGCAGTGCTGCCTGAGGGATCGAAGGTCACAGGCATGATGGTTTTCGGCCTTGCCGCTTAAGTGCAGAGATTTCCCCAGGTTCTCTGAATCTTTTGAATGTATTATGGACCACAGAAGATGAAATCTATTAATGGGTGAATATTTGCCAAAGTACACTACAACACAATACAACGCAATACATCCAAAAAGGATAGTTCATCAGTTTAAACATTGAATATCTTGTCTTTGTCTTGTCTTCAGTTAAGTATAGATGGAAAATGATTTGCAAATCATTGTAGTCTGCTCATATTATATTACAGACAAAGATGTATTTTACACAACATCCCAACTTCATTGGAATTTGGCTTTGTATATGTATGAATGTATGTGCTCATCCTGTATATTGTCATTGTTTCTATTCTAGGCTGGTGCCATCTTCTCCACTCAGAATGACTGACCCAGCTCTGAAAAGTGTGGTCACAGACATAGTTCGTTCTCCTGAGGACAAGCGAGTTTACAGGGGCCTGGAGTTTAACAATGGATTGAGGGCCATGCTCATCAGTGACCCAACAACAGACAAATCCTCCGCTGCTTTGGATGTCCACATCGGTAAGAAATGAAGTATATTGATGTGCGATATAACCGCCAGGTTTATTGCTCATTCCACAATAAAGGCGCTTCAGTAGGCGTTAATCTTTCGTCAGTTTTTATTTTTAGATATGCATACTTCTGTTAGGTTTTGAAATGGAAAAAGCTTAGTCACAAAATCTATATTTTGTATGTAAGTGTGCTGTGGTGTAGCATATTAGTGGTGTGCATCATAAAGACGTGCCTACAGAACCAACTAATTCCATGTACAGTATATTCAAATTGAAAGTGTATCCACGGCTTGTTTGACTGTATCTCAGGGATCATTTTACCTTCAAATTTCAGGTTCGTTATCCGACCCGGTGAACATCGCAGGCCTGGCGCACTTTTGTGAACACATGCTGTTCCTGGGGACAAAGAAGTACCCAAAAGAGAATGAGTACAGCCAGTTTTTGAGTGAGCATGCTGGCAGCTCCAATGCCTTCACCAGTGGAGAGCACACTAACTACTACTTTGATGTGTCTCATGAGCACTTACAAGGAGCTTTGGATAGGTAATCGACTATTTATTTGATTATATTTCCATCCATGCATCCATTCATCCATTTTCTCCTGCTTATCTGAGGTCGGATAAATATTTGATTATGTTTCATCTTTCAAAAACTATTTAGTCTCCATAAAGAATCCCTTGCAAATGTCACCTCTAGCTTTTGTCTGTTTGTCATCTTCCGTGAACCAGGAACCAGCCAAATTATTAACAAACAATAACAAACATGGTGCCTCATTGTTTGTTATTGTTGTATTTTGTTCATTTTTGTCATAGTATTGTTTTAATACAGATTGCTCCGATAGCATAATTCATATGAACTTGGATCATGCAATCTCAATGCAGTATTTTGAAAATTAATCGGTGAAGCGCAAAAATGAATCGTTAGTCAATATTTTCTCTATTCATTTGTTCTTTTTTGTCTTTATTTTGCCACTTTGAATCCAAGATCCCAGACCATCTTTTTTAAGAGTCACAATTTTGTAAGCACAGATGGAGCTCCCACCCCCACTGGAAACCAATCATTTTACTCTTAGAGTGAAGGTGACACTCCTCACTGTACAGGGGACTGTTGTCATATCTATCATGTATCAGCCATGGTGAAAAAGCACTCGCTCAACAGAGTGGATTACCCTCTTTATAAATGAATGTTATTCTAGCTGGCGTCTGTTTGTGGAATCGTCTAATTGTTGTCCACTGCTGGTGAGATGCGTGGCCCATCTGGTGCCCTGAGAAAATAATAGTGTAGGCTAAAGTTAATAATGAAATATTAATGATGTCAACCACATGTTGTTGTCGATTTACAATTAACATTAAAAGAGAATATTTGCTTTTCATTTCCTTAAATTTTCTCTGCACTTTTTATGTAGAAGCAGAGTTGCTGTCAACCTTATTTCACAAAAACGATTTGGCTTATTATTAAAAAAAAAAAAAAAAAAATCTTCACTTCAGTGCTTTAAAATAGCATTCCCAACTATACGCTATTACTAACACATACTAGTATTATTGTTATTAAGTGTTTTCTGTATGGTGATCGCATCAATTGTCATACTGTAATCTGTATAGGTTTGCCCAGTTCTTTCTCTGCCCGCTGTTTGACGAGAGCTGTAAAGACCGCGAGGTGAACGCTGTGGACTCTGAGCATGACAAGAACCTGATGAATGATGCTTGGAGGCTCTTTCAGCTAGAGAAGGCCACTGGAAACCCAAATCACCCCTTCAGTAAATTTGGAACAGGTAGCCGCCCTTCTTGAATAGACTTCACACAAATGCACGTACCCAGTACTCTATTGTTGCTTTGAAGACCTTTGCCCATTTTAGCTGGTTGCAATTGAAAAATCAACAGCAATAAAGATTTTGAGAAGCACAGGGATATTTGAGCCTACAGTATGTCTTGGTCGAAAAAGGTTGAACATGGTTTGCATTTCATTGTATTCTCTTTTTATTTGTGTTTAACAAACCGTCCCAACTTCATTGGAATTGAGTTGGTAAGATAAGAAAGTTCAATCAGTAATATGGTACATACAACATACAGACCACAGGGAAGAAAGTTAATTACCCCCCCCCCCCCACCTTTGTGTTGTAGATAGGTTTGGTTCTTGCCTTTTTTCCTACAGCAGAGATTTGCACCAGTTGGACTGATTATTATCATTTCTGAAGCCAGTTTGCTAGTTACAATTTCATTATTGCTGATGGTGTAGTGGTCCACTTGCTTGATTTGTGACCAAGCAGCGTGGGATCGGTTCTGGCTTAGTGTGGATGTGAATGTATGTGTCCTGTGACCAGTTCAGGGTGCCGCCTGCCGTTCACTCAAAGTCAACTGGGATAGGCTCCCACACCCACCATGTGACTCTGTACAGCAGTGCAATCTAATACAATACATCTTCAATTATATAGTGTTTTCACACAGCTGCAGCTGTAACAAAGCGCTTAGCAGTGTTGAAAATGACATAACAGTTTCATTATGAAGATCAGATCCATAGTTTTTAGGTGTCCCAAAACAGCTTTGTGTAAGAAGATTTAACAATTTAACAATGGGGAAGTCCCCCTCACCCAAAAAAATATCTTCACAATAACAAGTTCTATACCAGCCCTACTAGTCAAAACACTGCATTCTAATTTATATTGTATGTTAAACCCCTGTAAAGACAAATTACTGTAAAGACACATTTTTAGTTCACCTCCTCTCATGTCAAGTGTGCTCAAGGAATAAATACAATATACCTGTACTCCTCTGTTCTAGGGAACAAGCTGACCCTTGAGACGAGACCATCTAATGACGGCATTGATGTCCGCCAGGAACTCCTTGAGTTTCACTCTACATATTACTCCTCTAATCTAATGGGCCTCTGTGTTTTAGGAAGAGGTAAGGCAACACGGAGGAAGACTTTTATTGATTTTTATTCTTTTTTTTTTTGTGTAAGAGACAAATGTGTTAAGTGATTTACAGCACAATCTCTATAGCAACTCATCTTACAGCGATTTTTTTTAATGATACCGAGCTATTAATCGACCTGCCTTCTTAAATTTCTGCCCGTATCTTTATTGCTTTTTAATTCCTAAAGTTTGAAGGTAGATAATAAATATTCATTGAATGTTTGAACAAATTACCGGTAAGTGAATTAAAGGCGTGCTCTGTCTTTAGTGTCAAAATAACGTCACCTCAATCAGCCTCTTGATGGAATGCAAACCAATGAACATCCTAAAATAAAGGCTCGAGCTACAAGTTCATGTTTCACAAGTTAAATGGCATTTTATGATAATTTAATTGAAAGAAAATACAGAGTATCACTTTGTTGATACTGTGTTGAGGGAGGATGATAAGTGGTTCGGTAAATGAATGATTGAAAGAATGTAGTCAAAACAGTTTTTTTTTTTCAACAAATTTAAGTGTGAAATCATGTTCTTACCCACAGAATCGCTAGATGAGCTGACTTCTATGGTGGTCAAGTTATTTGCAGAAGTAGAGAACAAGAATGTGCCGATCCCGGAATTTCCTGATCACCCCTTTCAAGATGAATATCTAAAAGTCAGCATCTGTTGTTTACCCATGCTGTTAATTTATGTCTATATTTATTGTTTTCAGATGAATTTAAAAAATTGATTTATTTTCCTGTTTATTGTGCCAGCAATTCTACAAAGTGGTGCCCATAAAAGACATAAGGAATCTGTACGTGACGTTCCCCATCCCAGACCTGCAGAAATACTATAAATCAAACCCAGGGCATTATCTGGGACATCTGATAGGTCATGAAGGACCTGGAAGTTTGTTATCCGAACTAAAAAGTAAAGGTAAGGAACATGAAATGTCCACATAGCGATACATCAAAAGTGAGTACACTGAAATGTCCACATAGCGATACATCAAAAGTGAGTAGGTACATAAGCAGTGATATTGTCATTCTGTTCAGGATGGGTGAATACACTTGTTGGAGGTCAAAAAGAAGGAGCCAGAGGATTCATGTTCTTCATCATCAATGTAGACTTGACAGAAGAAGGCCTTTGTAAGTAGTTCTTGATATTTGCTCATGGAGTGTTTTCCAGTGTGGTGTTTGTGGAATAATCTGAATTGTAAATAACCTCATCATGTGGATGTCCCAACAGTGCACGTGGAGGACATTATCTTTCACATGTTCCAGTATATCCAGAAACTGCGCACAGAGGGACCTCAGGAGTGGGTGTTTCAGGAGTGCAAAGTAACTACAGTATTATACACATTATTTAATAAATGCTGTTTTGAATTAAAAAAAACAAAACAAACTTAGTTTGTTTAATCTCACTGACACTGTGATTCTGAGCTATCAATGTTTATGGCTCCCAATTCTGTCTTTCTCTGCAGGATTTAAACAAGGTAGCCTTCCGGTTTAAAGACAAGGAGCGACCCCGTGGCTACACCTCCAAGGTGTCTGGTTTACTACATGTAGGTGTCCTCTCCTTGTGCAAAGGTTGATTTCATCGAGTAATGTTCCAGCTTGTTGTGGCTCACGTCCTGACTGTCACCAGCCCCCGATGCTGCTCTTAACTCCCAGGATGTGTGACACAAATGTGTTTATGTTAATATTTTGTGTGTTTTTCAGTTTTACCCACTTGAAGAGGTTCTAGCTGCAGAGTATCTTTTAGAAGACTTCAGGCCAGACTTAATTGAGATGGTGCTGGACAAGCTGAGACCAGAATATGTCCGGTTAGTGCAAGAAGAATAAAAAAAAAAAAAATCTACCTCCATTTTCTACAAATCGAAAATAACTCTTGTACGTTCACTGTCAATCATGGCCCTTAGAATTGTTACCATTTGTACATCCCAAGTGCCATTATAAGCATGCAACCCATTGTCTGTGCACAAAAATACCTCTTTATAGAGCGTAGAAACAATTGTGCCCCTGCGTGATTGTTGAAACTGTGGTTCAAAAGAACATTTTATTCCGCACCATGCCCAAAATTGTTGAGGCGTCAATCAGTTTATTCAGTCATTCCCAATTGAAGATTACAGTCAAAATAAACCAATTACACGTATTTAAAACAACAAAGCAATGTTGCCTTAAGACTGGTCCATTAGCTTAATGCCAACATCTACTGCAAATCGCTATTGACAAGCATGCTTAGTCATAGTTATTGCACCCTTTATGCAATAGCTATTTGAACACAAACAGCGGAGCAGCACATGTAGACAGATATAATGACAATACTCATGTCTATATTCTACCACTTTCCTGCTAATCTGGCTGCAACACTGAATTGCTTATCACGACAGTTCTGAAAGTATTCTCTCTTTCCAGGGTTGTTTTGGTTTCAAAATCATTTGACGGACGGACAGACAAGGCAGAAGAATGGTATGGTACACAGTACAAACAGGAGCCTATCTCTGAGGAGACCATCAAGGTGAATCACTGCAAATACAGTGCTGAGCAAATCACTGTGCAGGCAGTGGCATTATTCTTCTTGAGAGAAATTATTTTGATGTATGACATCAGGTTAAGTCGTGTATGTGTTTCAGAAATGGGCCGGTGCGGACCTCAACGGCAAGTTCAAGTTACCAATGAAAAATGAGTTCATTCCGACCAACTTTGAAATTTACCCTCTTGAGAAAGACTCTCCTGCCGTCCCTGTTTTAATCAAGGCAAGTGTGTTTGCTGCTGTTTTTGACATCAAAGCCACCTTTCATGACTTACTCAAGCAGTCTGATTTTAACTGCAGATTACATTAAAAAAAAAAATCCAATGAGTGATGATGTTTGCTAAAATAATGCTGACGGTCTGTTTTATTATTCATCAAAGTAAATTTTCACAATTTGTTTGAACTGAAACTGGATTTTCTGTTTTTCTGCATTTGTGATCACGGTTCATCAAAATGAAACACGTTTCTGTGCGGTCTTCTTTTAGGACACAGCAATGAGCAAGGTGTGGTTCAAGCAGGATGACAAATTCTTTCTTCCCAAAGCATGTTTGAACTTTGAGTTCTTCAGGTATGTAATAACTTAGTTGCTGATGGAAATGTCACAAATAGCAAAGTACCCAGTAAAATTACCGCTTCTTCTATGAGAATATGGAATAGTATATTTGGATTAGTTGGTCGTAATAGCATCAGAAAAACTGCTTTCATTCTTTTTTTTCTGTTTTCGTAACATAACTGAGAGAGAACGTTACCCATGTAAAATATCCCGGAACGTTGCATCATGGGAAGTTCAGAAGCAAAAGCACACAAGCGCTAATTTTGCGGCACATTCTTTTTTCTTCTTCTATGCAGTCTAATGTTAGAATGTCAGTTTTCATACATATGCTGACACGAGACAACAATATTTGTCCTATGGCAATAAATATTTAAAAAAGTATCAAAATAATTTCAAGGAAACATAAGCATTCAAAATGTAGCTCTCACATTGATGAGCAGGACTGTTCTTTCTCGATTTAAAAATTGATGACTTTAATATCAAATATATATTTTTTTATTTTATCATTAAAGTCTTGGATGGTTCATAGCATGCAACATTTTAATGTGGAATCAAATTGTCAGTGCTAAAATTAATAAGGTTGCAGTCTTCATAATCTTTTTTTTTTCCTGGCTTTAGTTTCTTTGGCCACCAAAGCAAAGCATTGTAATTTATAGTCAGTGCACTTTCTTTCTTTGACCTCTGCATTTTTCTACAGCCCGTTTGCATATGTGGACCCATTACATTGTAACATGGCTTATTTATACCTGGAGCTCCTAAAAGACTCCCTCAACGAGTATGCATATGCAGCCGAACTAGCTGGTTTGAACTATGACCTTCAGAATACCGTCTATGGGATGTATGTAAGTATTCAGATTCCCTCACTCTAAGGTTCGTGTTACATCCCAAACCTCCTACACTTCCCCCGACTGGGCTATAGTGGCTCAGCCAGGCCCCAATGGCATTAATTGTGAAAATTAACCTTCTTTTTCTATTACTCCCAAAAACTGCCATATGGTAGTTAAAGTACACAATTGATCTCCACAAACTAGACCTGGCTAGTGTCAGTATAGCTTTTGTTCTATGCACATCTGTTCATACTTCATCAATCCTTTTTTCCCCCCCCTTTTTAATCATTCACCTCCCCCAAAACATTAATTCCTATGAATCCTTTCCTTTGTGCCTCACAACATCAGGCACAGCATTGTTGTTGTTGTTGTACCTGTGCTGTGAATCTAACAAAGTAAGATGAGACTTCTCCAGATGTTTATGTGGGACACAAAGCCAGTAATGAGGCTGCATATACATACTCTTCCTGTCATTCTTTACGTCATGTCTCTCCTTCCCATCAACTGTCTTTTGTTTGTTGTTTTTCCCCCCCCCCCCCCCCCCGCCCCTCCCTTCTGTAGTCGCTATTTATATGCAGATCCACTGCACTGCAATATGACCTACCTGTTGCTCAGGTTACTGAAGGATGATTTAAGAGAGTATACATATGCAGCCCGCCTGGCAGGGCTGGTATATGGCCTAGCCTCTGGGATGAATGCCATCCTAGTGAGTAAGACGTCTGAGTCCTGCAGAGAAGTGGAGCAAGTGTTGTGGACTGTCCTTTTTGAGGCATTTCAAGTGTGAAAGTAAAATTGCTTGCTTGTCCCTGCTCACTTTGGTTTGTTGTAGTTGCTATGGTTTCTAAGATGGAGCGTTCTATAATGAGTGTTTGCTGGTCGTTGCATTACAGCATGTATTTTAAAAATGGGGCTTTCAGTCCCTCACAGCATTATAAGCAAACCTTTTTTGCAAATAAAACTGGATACACGAAGGCCTTTGTAAACGTATTCAAATAAATGAAAAAGTTTTGAACCTATAGTGGAATCAATTCCAGGTTGGAGGAATTAAACTCAAGCTAAAATCCAGTTGGAGGTTCAGGCTCTGGGTTCAGATTAAAGTACAAAAATTTAGATTCATGTCATGTCATTTTGAGGGGTTTTTTTTGTACTTAAGACAGGATACTTGCCCACATTGTATTACCGTGGTTTGTAGTACAGTGCAACCTCTGTGGTCGAACACAATCCTTTCTGGGATATTCCAATTTAGGTGTTAATAGTAGGGATGTAACGATAAAGGCTATATCGTGGAATTAAACTTGTAATGGTATCCTCGCCGTCACATTACAATATCAACTCATTCACTTCCAATGACGTTTTTAAACGCCTTTTCAGACTTGGTCCAGAATTGGCTGGTACTGGATGAGTTAAAAGTAGCACATCTCTCTCTGCCTTACTTTTCACCTGCTTCAGCCAAACACAGCATTGTGACCGACAAAGACCATGATATTTTGCGCCGCTGGGGCAATAGGAATACTGTACATGACAATAAAATCACTGGCTAGCCTATTTCTTTGTCACTGCTACTGTTATCTATAAAAACATAATTGTGCTTTTCCTAATATCCTGGGAAAAAAAATTGAGCAGTATTTTGAGTTTTTATCCAGAATTGTGAGCTTTTATTGTCAACCTCCCCACAATATTGTGATAATTAACTTATCATGAGGTTCATATATATCGTGACGTTTCGATCATTACATAAATAGAAATAATGTGTCAAAAATTTTAACTGTATGTACAGGCAACGTTTGACATCACAGAACACAATTTTTTACAGTCGTAAAGAATCTATTTTTTAACATCAATGGTCACACAATTGTAAAAGGTTAACCACCAATGTACTGTAAAACATTTTAAAATTAACATTGAAATAGTTTTGGTTTTCCTTTTTAGAATTCAAATCTGCTAAATTCACTTTGCTTACAAGTAACTGCGATTTGTTTTTCTTGTTTCGGCACATTCTCCACACCTAACAAGACAAAGAGCTCCTTAAAAATTTGAAATTTGCGGTTGGACAAATGCCAATAAAATGTTTTTAACCTGACTACAACAAACTTGTCCTATCTATCACTAACATTCTGCACTGGTTGGAGTAACCCGTTCCCGCTAATCAAGGGATGCCCAAATCCGGTCCTCAAGAGCCCCTATCCAGTCTGTTTTACGTTCCCCTCCTCCAACACACATTCAAATGATCAGGATCGTTATCAGGCTTCTGCAAAGTTTGCTGATGAACCTTTCATTTGAGTCGGGTCTATTGGATGAGGGAAACATGCAAAACAAGCACCGGATTTGGGCACCCCCGCGATAATCTGTGTTTGCTCGTATTGATCATTAACAACCTCTCAAAATGATGGTGGTCTCTCCTTGGGGACAGGATGTTGATGCATCTGTGAGCTGTGCCTAATAGATTGCAGTCAGCAGTATCAGGGTGGACATTTGTCAAGGTTAATGATATTAGAGATGACTTTTACCGCGTGTCTGTCATCCAAGTGACTTTGTGATGTGGGTAGAAATTGGTGTGATTGCTGAATCAGGAAGGGTCTTGAAGGATGTAGATGGCACTTTATCTTGTTTCAATCGCCCTTTTTTCTCTCCTTGCTTCTACCATTTTTAAATTGTGTATTTGCATGGAAAAAAACCCCAACCTGTTATTTGCAATGGATGTTCCGTTCTCCCTATACCGTAATTCAACTATGTTGAAAGTTATATATTTGACCATAACAAGATTAGGTATCCAAAAACAATCTGATAATGAGAGACTTATTTTCTCGTTCAACAGACTGTGTACATCAGCTGTTGAGAGGCCATTTTGTTCATCCCCTGTCTTGTCTCCAGACCCAATAGTCCCTCATAGGCCAAGAGATGACCATCATATTCCTAAATGAATAAATCCAATATTTGACACCCACATTGATCCTGTTAAACCATCTACTCTGTCACTGCGCCAGCTCTCTGTTAAAGGTTACAATGACAAGCAGGACATCCTTTTGAAGAAGATCATTGAGAAGATGGCCACGTTTGAGATCGATGAGAAGCGGTTCGACATCATCAAGGAAGCGGTAATCACTATTGTCATAAACACCATTGCTGTGTTCTAGCCACCCCGCTCTAGATTTTAAACCGCAGTGTTGGCTGTGCTCACATTTTTTTTTCTCCATTTCTTTCTGCAGTACATGAGGTCTCTGAATAATTTCAGAGCAGAACAACCGCACCAGCACGCCATGTACTACCTTCGTCTACTCATGACTGAGGTGGCCTGGACCAAAGATGAACTCAGAGATGCTCTAGAGGGTGAGATGATACTTTTTCAACATATTTAAAAAATATATATAACAAGAAAGAAACCAACTTAGAGTGACGTTTTCAAATTTCTGGAATGTGGAAATAGCTGACCTTTTACTCCTATAACCAAATGGAGTTCTCTGCTACAAATGTGGCTTCGAGGTGTACGCTTACTATCGTCTTTTTTTTAATACCTGAACCCCTTTTTTGTGGAATACTTGATGTGGCCCAGACACACTCAGATTCTATTTCCCACACCCCCCACGTAAATTGAGTTTGAGACCCCTCATATACATCTTCAAATGCATTAGTTGAGCTCAATTTTCTTTAACCGCTTGTTCTTTGGCCGAAAGTGAGTCATTTCATTGTGACGTTGCTCTTCGAATGATAGTTGTGATCTGTATTCCAGATGTAACTCTCCCGCGGCTCAAGGCTTTCATACCTCAGCTGTTGTCACGGTTACATATTGAAGCCCTTCTCCACGGTAACATCACCAAGGAGGTTTGTTTGTGTTTAACTCCTTAAAGAAAATGTATTCACTTTCTGGGGTTTACGTTCAAGTGGCAGTATTGTGGAAAATAATATTTTAGTGGAGGAAGTCCGAGAAATCCATCTAAGAATACCGTATTTTCTGCACTATAAGGCGCATCGGATTATAAGGCGCACTGTTGGCTTTTGAGAAAATTGATTTTAGGTGTGACTATAGCGCGGAAAATACGGTAATCTAATAAATTTCCCTGATAGACAACCTTCAAAAGCAAACGTGATATTCATATAAAATTCGTCAAAAGTAGAAATGTTAAAATGAACACAATTCATAGTGGTAATGTTATCTGCATTACTACAGCAGAACTGACTGACTACTGTATTTCTCAGTTTGGTTGTCAGTATTCAGCTTTCATCCAATTCAACACCACAATTTATAATGACAACAGTACTGTATGCGATTTATATGGCACTTTTCTGTCACACTGAAAGTGACCACAATGGATACTTTTTTCATGCACTCGCACATTCACACGCTGGTTGCCATAAGATATGCATGCAGCCAGGGGCAGGCTGACTGAAGCGTGGCTGCCATTGTGCGCCTACTGCCTCGCCGACCACAACAAAACATTTACGTCCACTCGTAGACCAGTGTGAGTGGCACTGGAGGGAAGGTGGGTGAAGTAATCATCTTGCCCCAAGGACACACCGACACATGGCTTGGACATAGAGAAATTGTAACAGCAGACCCTTCGCTCTATCTTGTGAGCCACAGCAGCCCGTATAATAATCCTAAGTAATGGGACACTTGTAAAGGTATGCTGTATTTTGGCCAGAGTATAAAATGTAAAGATCCAATAGCACATGGTGAAAATGTACATTAGATACCCTGAATATGAATATGGATGCATTCATCTTTTATTTAAACCAAATTAAAACCATTTCAAGTAGTGTGAGTGCATGTATATATATTCTGTAGATAGACACAACAACTTTCCTTATTCTGAACATTTTTTTAAATTTCTTTAAAAAATATAGAAAAACAGGCACCTATTTAAGGAACAGAATGAAATGTGGGCATAGTGTTTGCTGCTTGATGTTTTTCTGCTTTCCCATTAGATGCTTATTCATTTCTTCCTGTCCTCTTGGTCATGTTTTTTAGTCTGCACTTGGTATGATACAAATGGTAGAGGACACTCTTATTGAGCACGCACGCACAAAGCCTCTCCTACCCAGCCAACTGATCCGCTACAGAGAGGTGCAGGTTCCAGACGGTAGGTCTTGTACTCCTTCACACTCCGCTTAAGTACTCGTAATCAACACCCAGCCAGTCTCCACCGCAACCACACAGAAGGGGCCTCGCCCTTCTTGCATGCACATGTTGTCCTTACAATGGAAAAGGCTTCAATCAAATTGAATATTTCTAATTTCCACCTGAGGGAGACTTGTGGTCATCTAGTGCGAATTGATTTCATTCAGTCAAAACAAGTAAACACATTCCTCTTGGCAGGTACACACACACACACACACACACACACACATGCTTAGCAAGTCACCTGTGCTACCGCCTGATTATGTTATGCACATCGAGTGATTTGTAGACGAAAACCAGGGTCATGTGGGGCTACCAGCAAAAAACCTGTGTCTCACCGAGGGATGCAGAGAGGTTTACGGGCTTGGTTCCAGGTGGCAGGAGTACAAGATGTAAAAACACTGTTGCTCTGCCAAGCCACTTCCTGCCAATATAAAAAAATAAAAATGAAAAAAAGCTGACATACACTCACTGGCCTCAAGTTGGTGAAACTTGCACAATTTAATTAGATCAAAAACAAGTGATGCATAAAAAGCAACATATAGCCGACCCTTGCCGATTTTGCAAAAGCACCATTTGCGTTGCGTCCTCACCTGCTTGTGATTTTTTTTTTATGTAGTACAAAACTAAAACTCACGTATTTTAAGGTTTTGCAAAAAAATAAAATAAAATTTGCATCATTGTCGGAAATGCTTATAACATTTGCGGAACTGCTTTCATGGAAATAAAAATGCTCCTCAAGTCACATGCATGCTGGCATGTTATGTTGATCCTGCACAGCCTTTAAAAATACCCATGACTGCTTTCCGAGTGCCCGTTTTATTATGTTTTTCATTCATTGATGCATCGATACATCATATATTTTTCTAAATGCATACACCAAGAACAGCAAACAACTTAATGTCGGTTTGGCACACAGCGCACAGCTTCGAGGAGAATGAGGAACCTGATGTGTTCTTCGGCAGAAGCGATGACGAGGATGTTTGTGATTTGGTGGCGTCTGAAGCCACCTTAGTTGATAGCTCTCATGGTAGTGATTCCTTAATCGCAGTCCAGATATCTATTAACAATCTAAAAAAATGTTTACCAAACTAATTTGATTCCTTAGAATATGTATGTAGCCAAACAGCGTCGATAGTAGGGGTGTGCAAAAAAAAAAAATCGTGATTTTATATGCCAAGATTCAATACATCGGTGTCAAATGTATTATTTTTATTATTATTGTTATGTTTTGTTAAGCGCTTTGTTACAGCTGCCGCTGTTGTAAAAGCGCTATATAAATCAGCATGTATTGTATTGTATTGTATTATTAAAGTACAGAATCGATTCTCATGATTTTTTTTAAAAGGCAAAGGTGAAGATACCACCTTCTTCCAGCAGGTGGCAGTGCGGAGTCAATGTGTTGTGGGGAGTCATGGGGTTTAAGCATTCAGCCTAGTCACACTACGGCATGTGAGTAAGTCAGTGCCTGAGCCACGCAGCCGGCTCTTTCTAAAATAAGTGTCAGAAAGACTGACTGACTTTCATTTGGCTGCATTGATTAACATACATGATTCAACTTATCACAAGTATTGTGATTTGAATCGAATCTGGAGGTAAGCAAATCGTCTCATCCCTATTCACTAGTGTGCTTACTCCGTCAAATATAGGGTAGGTCAAAAATAAATAAATAAATAGATACTGAACAAACACTGTCGGACAAAATAATCATTGTGGTTTGTGGCCACCAGGACTTGTTACAACACAGCCAGTACATATACAATGCATACCAAAAAGGTGTAGGCGTTGGCTACTTTGCGGAGCTGGTAAGTAAGTGTGTGGACTTGTTTACAGCTGTTGAACCAAACTGGCAATAGCGAATTCTTTAACTCAGTGCTACCGTTGTTCATGCATTTCTTTTACATTTATGCCAGAAAAGGAGGCGTTGTACCACCGTCAAGCCCCTTCTAAACAATGGATATCTCCTTGTTGGAAAATTATAGACCCACCTCAAATGTTCCCTTCTTCACCAAGATTTTCAGGAAAGTGGTTGTTAATGCTGAGCCTTTTTGATGAATTTCAATTAGGTTTTCAATTTTTTCACAGTACTGAAACGGCTCTTAGGGGCCATATCAACCTAAGGCCTGGTCTATATGTAGCTGGGCTTAAAAAAAAAAAAAAAACTTCCCCATGTCCGTATAGAAAAATATTTCCATTCACGCTTCCTTGTTTGTTAAAAAAAAACAAAAAAAATACATCCACAACAAACTGCTGAAGCGCATTTTTCAAGTGCATTTACAAGCGTGTCCAGAAAAGCCCCTTCACCCAGTAGCCCGGATGGCAGGATGTCATCCTTGCAGGCAGACCAAGCACACCTCTCGGCGTAGAGTCTGCCACAAGGTGACACTGGAATTATAACTTTTAACATTTTTAAAATCAGAAAGCCGAGAAGTCGGCAAGAGAAAATAAGCTAAAAATAAAGAATAAATGAATAAATACTTGGCCTACATAAAATGAATAAAAATGAGCCACTGAGTCACTGAGTGGGAACCGATCCCACACTGCCCGCACACAAGTCTGACGTGTGTAGCACTACACCATCAGCGAATGACTGAAAATTAAGTAGCTAAATGAAAAAATAAGTGAACAAATACAATCTCTCTCTCTCTCGCTCTCTCTCTTCCCCCTCACCCCTTTCTCTCTCTCCCTCCCTCTTTCTCTGTCCCTCACTTTCTCTCTCTCTCTGTCGAGAGCGAAAGATAGCACTCTATCCAATCATGCCTCTATGTCAGAGTGGCCAAACCAAAGCCACTCTTTTTTAAAAGGCTCATGGCAGGCCCCCTGGAGTTCAGATTATGAGAGAGAAAATTCTCTGATCTGATGAGGCAAAAATTTAGTTTGTTGACGTCAATGACAGCCATCATGTTGGAGAAAACCAAGAACTGCTCATCACCTGACTAATCCACTCGGGAGGCCTACAATGTAGCATGGTGTGGGGATGTTTTTCAGTGGGAAAAATTGGGAAACTTGTCAAGATTGCGAGAAAGATGAATGCAGCAATGTACAGAGGTGTCCTGGAGGAAAACCTGCTTTGCTCAGACCGGGGGAGGGTTACCTTCCAACAGGACAACAACCCTCAGCAGACAGCCAAGATAATGGAGTGGCTTCAGGTCAACTCTTTGTATGTCCTTGAGTGGCACAGCCAGCACTCTTAAATCCGATCGAACGTCTCTGGAGAGATGAAAATAGCTGTGCTCCGATGCTCCCCGTCCAACCTGATGGGTGCTGAAAAAGCTATCATTACTGCTAAAAGTGCAGTATTGAGCAAAGGCTGTGAATACATATCTACAGTACATGTGATGATCTTTGGGGTTTTTTTTCCCAATACATTTGCAAACATTAAAAAGAATTTAAAAAAAAAAAATTCTTACTTTGTCATACGGGGGTGTTGTGTGTAGAATTTGAAGGGTTGAAATTTTTTCCAGGCTGTAACATAAAATGTCAAACGCTAGCTTTATATACTTGTCGGATGCACTGATAAGCAACACAGATACGATAAACTTGAAGAGCATATTGCTTCTTTTTGATAGTCCCACTGGTGCAAAAAAAAGTGAACATTGTCATGTTGCTGGCAGGTGGCTGGTATGTTTATCAGCAGAGGAATGAAGTGCACAACAACTGCGGCATCGAGATCTACTACCAGACTGACATGCAGACCACCCATGAGAACATGCTGCTGGAGCTATTCTGTCAGATAATCTCTGAGCCGTGCTTCAACACGCTGAGAACTAAAGAGCAGCTGGGTGAGACGCCATGCATTCATTGAATGGCCTCTACGCATTTGAGTGTGTGCATGCGGGTGTGCGTGCATGTATATTTAATATGTACAAAGTACATTCCAGTGAAGTTTGTGTTAAACATAAATAAAAAAAAAATGAATACAATAGTTTGCAATCATGTTCAATCTATATTTAATTGAATACCGGTACAGTACAAAGACAAAATGTTTAATGTTCAAACCGCTGGCCAAGAACTGATTTTCATTTAAATATTTACTGTAATTATGACTTGACTATTGTAAGCATAGGTTTGTGGTTAACTGATGCATGCCACCTTGCGTAAAAATTCAGGTTATGTCGTAGTCATAGGAATGGAAGGAAATTGAGGACCCTTCATATTTACAATCAAAGACCTCAGCCTCCCACCTCGACTACCTGGTGGGAAAATACAAGCCAGATCAGGGTTGAAAATGGCCTTGATTGGTGATAACACTGTGTTACGCTGAGCCCTGACCCAATTTCTCCTTTGCGCCCTTAAAGGCTACATTGTGTTCAGCGGGCCAAGGCGGGCCAACGGGGTCCAAGGCCTTCGCTTCATCATCCAGTCAGAAAAGGCGCCTCACTACCTGGAGAGCCGCATCGAGGCCTTCCTTTGCACCATGGAGAGATCAGTGGAGGAGATGAGCGAGGAAGCCTTCCAGAAACACATCCAGGCCTTGGCCATCCGTCGCCTGGACAAGCCCAAAAAGCTGTCTGCCGAGTGTGCCAAGTACTGGGCGGAGATCATTTCCCAACAGTATAATTTTGATCGAGGTGAGCTGCTGCAAAAGGCCTCCTCACCTCACAGCTACATCTGACTCCGATTTGAGTAGTCAAATTAGAATGATCATCTCTGATATTGTTGCTCGTATGACGTATTAGAGTTTGTGTTGCACTAATCAATCAGTCGCGATCGGCACCCATTTCCTTATTATTGGGGCACCTGCAATCAGCCAACCCCTTAAATGAAACCGATCTTCTCCACCGATCTCATCTTCCCTTGCAGAGGTTTGACAAAGTCAGCCACTCTCCTTTTATGCGATGATTAATTGTTTTTTTTATTTTTATTTGCGAGCACTACTTCATGTGCAGTTACAACAACCTATTTGTGTTGTTTCACAGGTAGTCTTACAATGTGTTACAATAAGACAAGTAGGCACTGGCTGATAACCAGATTGACGAATTACCATGGTTTTAAAAAGCCACTGTTTCAATAAGTGCTAATACTGTCTCTCACCGGTAATGTGCTCTTGTCGTCTTTTTGAGGGGACCTTTAAACAGCGCACAATATGATGAGCTGCTTGCCGAGTTGAGTAAAAGAGCGGCGTCTTTGAAGTTACTGTAATTGCCTCATTAACTTTTTTTTTCTTCCTCAACACATAGCTATGCATAGAGGGGTGGGTGGATGGAGCGAGTAGGCAGGAGGCTCGAGGTTGCTTCATGTACCAAATATTGTATATTTTTGTTTAAAAATAAAATGGATTGTGTTCATTTGAGGGGGGTGGGGGGGGTCAGTTTTAGTTTACCCACATATTTAAAAAAAAAAAAAAAAATTAGAGCTGTAATTTTAAGATTGAGGTTATGGAATGGCCCAGTCTTGGTCCAAACCTAGATCTGGTCAAATATATGTGGGGTGATCAAAAGAGGGCCGTGAACAGGAAACGCCCTCGCAATCTCACATTTTTGGGGTGTTTTTGCAAAGATGAGTGTTCAAATAGTTGCCACATCAAGATGTGCAACAATGATAGACTCTTAGCCCTAAGACTGCGTGCTGTGATAAAAGCCAAAGGAGCTGCAATAAAGTGCAGCATTATCTTGAGAGTGTGCATATTTATGCACCCACATTATTTCTCGTAGGTCAAATTAAATGTATTTATTTTGGTATCTCTTTAATCACAAAATAATCTGGTAACTGAATCTTGACCGAGTGTAAAACAGAATGATTGCAGGACCGCCAAGATTGTGCCTGAATGAACACTCTCATATTTGTGTTGTGCCGTAGACAATATTGAGGTTGCCCACCTGAAGACGTTAACTAAAGATGACATCACGCAATTCTACCGTGTAAGTAGATCTTACTTATAAATTCTATCCATTCTGTCCTGTGGCTGCTGCGATATGGTGGAGCTGTATGCTTGTTCATGCTGGGAACAGTTTCACTGTGGAAGCCGCGACATTGATGATACCCTCCCTCTGTTATCATTTGTGTTGAGATGAATATTTTTTGCACTCTGGACGGAACGCGGTTTGAAATGACGCAGAGAGGAAAAAAAAGAGTACATGGCAACAAGAACAACAAAGCTAACAGCATATTAATAGTATAGGCTACTGTATGACAAGATGACACAGGAGGATTTTATATACTGTTGCTTGCTAAAGTTTTTGGCCCTCCTTGAACTGTTTAACCTATTGCCACATTTCAGGCTTCAAACATAAATAAAAATTAAAATTGTGTGTGTGTGTGTGTGTGTGTGTGTGTGTGTGTGCGTGTGTGTGTGTGTGTGTGTGTGTGAAGAATTGTAGCAAAAAGTGGTTTAACAAAGTATATACATGCACTTCATTCCCACTTGGTGTTGATTCTTCACAAAAAAAAAAATATATGTATATATATATATATATATATATATATATATATATATATTTTTTTTTTTTTTTTAATTTGTTTGACGGCTGAAATGTGTGAAAAGGTTCAAAAGTTCAAAGTGGCCGAAATACTTTCGCAAGCCACCGTTAAGTCTTGCATCCATTGAGTGTGTTTTTGCAGATTTTCTGCTACAATTTTGCAGGATATCAGAATAGCCTCTCCAGACTGCTGTTTGAATGTGACTTCCTCTGACGATCAACCCTATTGAGAAGAGAACCTTTGAAGCATCCTTAAGCAAAAGTTCAATGAGGGTAGGAGTCAGTCGCGTAAGATCTACGAAGGTGGGGCAGGGGCAGTTCACACCCAAACAGCAGGTTCTGACATCCTGGAAATGGAGTTCAATGGGTGCAAGAATTGCAAAGCTGCTATCAAATACGAGGTCGTATGTTGAAATGTAACTTGGCCTGTTCAGATGTTTTCGATTGAAATAGCGTTTCCTTTCATCAAATACAAGCCCCTAATGCTTTAAATTCACCAAATTACAATTTTTAGTTCTCTACAACCTCTACAAAAAGCGTCTTTTTTTAACTACTGTTGTCATTGCAGGGTTTGTTTCAAAACATGACAATTATTCTCTAATAGTTGATGACTTAAATTTTGCTGTGTACCATTTGCATGGTCTATTCAGACAATTTTTGAAAAACATAATTTGCATCATGGGGCGCGATGTAGTGTGGACAGGACAGACTTGTCGTGTACGAGGAAAGCGACTTGACCTCAGTGCTGCATTTCCTGAGAGTGGAAAACCATTTCACATGATTTTGACTTATTCCACATGCCACAAATTTACTTCAGAAATTGGTCAACGCCAAACTTAACGATGGTGAAAACATTCAAATCATCTTGAGTTTGACACTTTAAACCTGGTATTGTAATGCCATAAAATGTGATATTCTGGGCAGATACTAAATCATGGGGTCAACAGCACTATTTGTGACTCACAATACAGTAAGACATTTACACACATCATTCATTAAGCAGTAGTATATTGTATGTACATGTCAGTCTAACAATTGGGAAAGTAAAATAAAAAGGAAAACTGAGTATAAAATTGTCACCCAAAAAATGGACAAGATCAGAGCGTCTTTTTTTAATCACATTTTAAGCGGAAAAAATGCAAATCAATTTGCCCCCTTGAATATATCTGATGCATTTTTTGTTTGCTTTTAGTGACAGTTCTTTTCTGTGGCTTTACTATAGATGAAGCCAATAAAATCCTTCAGTCCAGGGGACATACAGTATTTTTCACAAATTACGCAACTAAATCCCCATAGATCAGAATCAGCCTTAACTTGATCCTTTGTATCCCCCCCAAAAGGAGCGCCTGACCCTGCACGCTCCCAAAAGACACAAGATGTCAGTTCACGTGCTGTCCAGAGAGATGGACACCTGTAAGTATCTGCTGTCTCGTGACCAATTGGAAGGACACTACACAGCACGGTCTGGGCTCACCTTGCCGTGTGTCTCCTAGGTCCCCTTGTTGGAGAATTTCCAGCTCAGAATGATGTCAACTTGGCCCCGGCACCCTCTTTGCCCCAGGTGAACACTATTTACACCAATGCATGAATGAGTGAGTGCATGCGAAGCTTCTTCATCGTATTATGCTCATTTACTCCCACCAGGTCCAACATAGAGTACACAGTCTAACAAAGTCCACTTGTGAAAGATGTATAAACAATTGGCTTCAGGTTTTTCTCTGTACTTTTGTAGAATTGCCCATTTGCCGGTATCCTTTATGATCAGAATGAATAATGTCAATGAATGAATGAATGACGTGTGAATGCTTTTAAATTTAGGATACAAACGATGCTCTCTTCCCACAAATATACTATAAGGTCATCCAAAGCATTTTGAAAATCATCTATTCCAAAATCTTGGTCTTGCGCTGTACATTCTTTTCGCAATTTTAGAAAGCTACTTTTTTATTTAATTTGAATTGAAATGTCCAATTTTCTTTTGTTTGCTTTTAACTGTTTTACTCTTAATTATGTGAAGCCCAATGAGTTTACCTTGTGAATGAAATGAGGCAAACTTGTCCAGAGCTCCAGAGTCCCCCTAAAATTTTTGACAGTGCAACTACAATTTTCATCCACTCACGCCAGTGCAACTAGATTTTTTTTTAATACTATTTTTGAATATTTAAATTTGCCGACCAAACTTCTGCTCCGTATTTCAGCCAATTTATCAATAACATAGTGAAATATTTAATTTGCAAGTCGGTTTTAGAGTGTGTGCTCCTCACTGTGCCGCAAAGATTTCAGGTTAGGGGCCTTTGTGGTTAACGATAATGGGCTTTCAGGTAAACTTTAGGGATGAAGCTAAAATGCACTCTTAACACCTTCTCCAATCTTTTGATTACACATCGGGTGACAACAGTAGATCTTTAAAGATGGAACTGTTGATGTGTTTCCGCAGCCGTCGGTGGTCCGGGACATGACAGAGTTCAAGAGGAGCTTGCCTCTTTTCCCTCTGGTCAGGCCTCACGTCAACTTCATGGCAGCCAAACTGTGAGCGAGCGTGGCCGCGCGCACGCGCTGGGCCCATGCCACAGCGGAATGTCGGAAAGACTCGGATCTGACTGAAACTTGCATGTGTGTGTTTAGTGGAGTACATATGAATGTGTGAGCAAGCAGGCTGGATCCACTAGAAGGAGATGCTTGGAAACTAATGCGTGTAATAGAGATACAGGTCACCATAGTTGTGATTCACGGTAGAGCCTCGTGTTCAAGTTGAACAGGAGATGCAACACTTCAATAATGATGTCACAGTCCTGTATAAGCTTTTTGTAGAGGAGCTAGACATCACCCGACAAAGAACTTTTTACTCGTCGTCATGTTCACAGCGATGGTTTTATTCCTCGCAGTTTTCTTTTTAACCTGTTAAAATATTGGGACCCTTTTGAGGTATTTTTAATCAGCTTACCATGAAGAACCTCACCCGTAGAACGTTATTTATTTCTTTTCTTTTTTTTTTCCAACTTAAAATACTTTTTAAAAGATATCTCAGGGGTACTCACGTGCTGATTTTTTTTAAACCTTTCGTTTTTGTTTTATTGGTCTGTCATCTACATTAATATTTTATTCATTTAAATAAAAATGTGATCAAATCCTACTTGTCATCATATGGGTTTGTTGACTAAAGAATTAAGTGTGTAGTGGAGGTTAACTCATCTCACCGATGGTCCACGAGTGACAAGTTCAATTCCAGCTGTGTTCACTATGGCTCATGCTCTCCCCTCTGTAGAATGAAGGAACAAGTGAGAGCATGGTTCCGCCACATTCAGCAGAGAAATCAGAGAGAGCATCCTTTCCAGCTGCATCACTTTGTGGGGCGGGAGCTGCACTGACTACAAAAGAAAAGCCCTGCAGCTCATTGTGTTCACAGCTGGAAAAAAATCATTTGACACATTCAACACCCGCCTCATCCGAAGAGCGACCACAATTGCGGGCGATGCGAGGCACCCTGCGCATAATCTGTTCATTCCCTTGCCTTCTTTTTGCTCGATCCTCTGTATGTTTCGCCCATATTGGCGTTTGACAATAAAAGAAAGCATTTCTTCATTTTGAAATCTTGGCTGTTGAGTTCCCCTATTGATGGCTCTCGCGGGTGTGTACCTGAGGCTTCGTCACATGAAACAATGGAATTTTAATCTATACAATGCAGTTGAGCAACAACCACACCCATGTGCGCACACATGCACACACACACCCTTACACACAGATAAATCAATCAATTGCAGCGACAGTTGTGAATGTGATTGGGACTTTTACACAGACTCACAGACATACCCATGACCCTAAATGTACAGTGTTGTCAGTGAAACGAAACAAAACAAAAACCTGATTGCAAACAGTGAGGAATAACTAGACACGGTAAACGGCTAAAGATAAGAGTGTTGGAATTTCCAGGATTTTGAGGTGCGCCCTGTATCTTACAGGAATATGTCTGCACCTGCACTGAGCATATCTCCACATATCAGAACCAAAACAAGGTGACAGACACATCCATCCATCCATCCATTTTCCGATCCGCTTTATCCTCACAAGGGTTGCGGGGAGTGCTGGAGCCTATCCCAGCCGTCTTCGAGCAGTAGGCGGGGGACACCCTGAACCGGTTGCCAGCCAATTGCAGGGTGACACAAACAAAGCCCTAAATATGATCGTATGATGACACATTATCAGAGCTGGAATCAAGTCGCACATGCAACTTTCAAGCAAGTTACTTAGTCTATGTCCTGCTGGTGAATTCCGTACTTTTCCCCCAATTGTGACGTGTCTGAATTATTTTCGCGTCAATATGAACCAACAGTAGAATTCTGATTTTTTATTTTTATTTTTTGTCATATCCAACCCAGACCTCTTTCGTACGTGCATATAAATCTGATTTGTATGTCTGCTGCAGTCACGCTCATCCGACCTATAGGTCATCAAGTCTACAAAAATTACCATTGTTTGATGGTGGATGATTACTTGAGTAGAACACAGTCAGTGGCCAAAAGAAGATGTCATGAAATGATCTGGTGAACAAAATGACATCCTCGCAACTGCCATAAGCGCGTCAGGACACAAGGGGCCGTGCTTCCTTTCGTATTAAACATACTGCCCCACGTGACATTATTTTGTGTGCATGCATGTCACATTACAAGCACATTCTGTTCGCATTACACGGTGCATTTTGTTTTCTTTTGCTTTAATCTTTGACGAGAAAACAACACTAGAGAAACAAGAGCAATGGGCTGCCGTCATTTGTAAAATCGCCTTGTGTCTGTTATAAGGAAGGATTTATTACAGCTTCAACGAAGTAATATAGTTCCACTCACAGGAGTGTTTTTATGATTAAAAAGAAAAAAAAAAGATTTTGCATCCCATTGTCCGTACAACTACTGTTTGCTGTAAACACCACTGGTAAATTCAGTTTTTAAGATAAGAACTTATTGGTGGGGATGAATTTTCTGCGGTACTCAAATGAGTTTAATAACAGAACACAGATAATTGAATTTACAACTATTTACTGGTCAGAATGGGTCTTTGATGTGGTAGCCGGGCAGTTAACTGTTCTTTGGCGTATTACAAGACACTTTATACTTTTTCCAGCCCAGTGAAATAACTCTCAGCTGCACCTTCGCATGACCAGACAAAGCCAGCTATCTGTTATCAGAATCAGCATCCGAATCAGAATCATCTTTATTGGCCAAGTATGTAGAACACACAAGGAATTTGTCTCCGGTAGTACAGGCTACACTTGTATCATCATAAACAAGGACATGACAAATAAGTATGGAAGGACATTCCGTAATGTAAGGGTACCGTTGTGCGGTGGTACCACCCAATGACAGCTGTGAGACAGTGTGCAAAGTATCAAGCAGAGCTAAAGTGATCAGTGGTAGAATACAATGCTATAACAGTTGTGCAGTTGGTGCAGAAAATCATTGCACCATTTTAAAGTGACCAGTAGCAGTATTTGTGGTACAACAAATGTGCAGATGTCCTTGAGTGTCTGGTGCGGTGGAATATAGATCAGTGACAGTGGTTCAAGTAAGTACAGAGCTGGAGCTACAATGATTATAGCGGTAATGCTGTTCCACAGGGTTGTGCAAAATTGCAAAGAGCCACTATACTGGTAGATTTGGGTTACTGTTTAGGGCAGGGGTGTCAAACTCATATCACATTGTGGGCCACATACGGCCTTGGTAGATGTCAAGTGGGCCGGACCATCAAAATTATACCATACTCTGCTATAAATAACCAAAGTAATATGTCTTTCCTTTGTTTTGGCCTAAAGAAGCACAAGAACATTAGGACAATGTTGAAATTTAATGAACATAACTTTTACAAAACATTTCATGAAGCACCTTTGATTTCCTTAGACAAATGTGCAATTTACTTTTATCATTCATATATATGCATTGCAACTGATCCCACTGATTGTACCAAGGCACAAAACTTTAACAAGTAATTGGTATTGAAAAATATAGTAATGCATTTTAAGATTAAACGAGATTTATAAAGAAAGGAATTTTTAAACCATTTACATGTGCATATAAAATCTAAATGTAATCCCTGCCTACACCTTAGAAACTAAGGAGAGTGCTATTAAATGTGTAAAGAATAAAGTAATCACATGTCCTTGATAGCGTCTGCTGTGTTGGGTCTGTCTCAGTGACAGACTGAGGCTGCGGTTGTCTCCTTCTCTGATCAAAACAGTGTGTCCCCTCGCGGATATTTGATGAATTGCACCTTATTAAAAATATTCATTCCGTGTCTTTTATGCATTTTTTTCACTTTTAAATGATCCTGTGGTCCTGATCGAACGTCCTTGGGGGCCGGTCGTATGTTTGACACCCTGGTTTAGGGAGTTAATGGCTAGAGGGAAGAAGCTGTTTGAGTGTCTGCTGGATTTGGTGCGCATGGATTGGTAGCGCTTGCCTGAGGGGAGTAGCTGGAAAAGGTGGTGGGGGTAAAGGTGGGCTTCTCCAAAGAGGGAGCGGTTTATCTGATTGACAGGTGAATCCTCAAGTCATGATATGTGCCATTCCCAGTTTACACTCACGTAGTGGTATTAATTCATTACAGTAATTTAATATTTGATCCGTCAACAGATATATTTTGTAAAATTTATAGGGTGGCACGGTGCACAACTGGTTAGCACGTCCGCCTCACAATTCAGAGGTCATGGGTGCAACCTCCTGTGTGGAGTTTGCATGTTATCCCACTACCGGCGTGGGTTTTCTCCGAGCACTCCGGTTTCCTTCCACATTCCAAAAAACATGTGTCATAGGTTAATTAAACAATCTAAATTGTCTCAAGATGTGATTGTGAGCGTGAATAGTTGTTATAGTCCCTGTGTGCGATTGGCTGGCAACCAGTTCAGGGTGTACTCTGCCTACTGCTCGCCAACGGCTGGGATAGGCTCCAGCACGGACGCTACCCTCGTGAGGATAAGCGACTCAAATGATGGATGGATGGATATTATAATATATGAATATTAATATGTGTATATATTTTATTTACCGCAGCTTCCATTTTCATCGGTTAAGGTGGTTCTTTGATTGGCTACAGTCCGCTCACGTAACAGTTCATGGGATCATGACTCAAATGTCGTCAGCTTTCCCTACACACAGGAAGATTTTTGCTTGGAAATATTGAACGCGTTAATAATAGGATGGCTGGCCCTGACCTTATTTCAGACACGATTATTGGAACAGATCCTCCCTTAAAACACCTAAGGCAGAAAGATCATCTCATAGGACAATCTAAGACAGAAGCTACTCTGGCATTGACATCCTTGGTCAGAAAGGGGCAAAATTAGGACAAAAAGAGTCCCATTATCTTTCTGTGCTTTCCCAGCCTTACACTTTCACTGACAATTCTCTGCCATACCTTATGGAAGGATTCTTCGGTTCTCAAGAAATAGCTCTCCTTTTCAAAAGCTTAACAAGCCTTGGTATAGGTAGAGCTACAGTAGTGTCGCTGTGGTGTGGATGCAGAGGCAGGAAGGAAGCAATCAGTCGAGTATTTTTTATTGTGTTAGGTCACGAAAGAAACAATAGTGCAACAACGCAACCAAAAATGCAAACGTGTGAAACAGAGCCCATATCTCACCATACTGCAATGATCCACTTTTCAAGTGGTCTATTTGCAAACACACACAATCCTTTAAGAAGCTCTGCGTGGATTTCCGCTTGCTCACGTGTTGGAAACAGTCAAACTTTTCACTCATGAGTTCTTTAGTAAGATTTTCATCTTATAGACAATTGCAAGACACTCTTTGTAGTGGGTCACAGCATTAGTTGAAGCGCAATTCGTGTGTTTCACTCTTTTGTTTGTTCTAACTTTCATGACAACAGATAATTACATTTATCTTTAGCCAATATAACTGAATAAATGATGAGGTGCATATATGAAACATACATTATATCACAAGCATAAATAAATGGCTTTGTTCATTAAATTCAAAAGTCCTTAATTTAAAAGATTTAAACACTTCACAATATCAGCGCGAGCACTGTGGTGGCGAGAATGGTGGTGAGTGAGAAGATCTGGACGTGAGCTCTGTTTGACTGCGTAGCTGTGGCCAACGCTGTGTTTGCCGTTCGCACTGCAACATTTGCGGACGAGGCCGTGGCGGACGCCAGAGCTCGCATCGCGTCCGTCTCGGAGTTAAGGGGTTGGCCCGCCGTGCTTGTCGTCAAAGCCAACTCTGCCACCTGTCTGGTAAAGTCCGTGCACACCTGCCCTGTGGACGCCACAGTCAAGATCGCCAGTTGGTCCACTAATTCCCCTGAGCATTCCTGCATGGTCCCTGTCAGCATGTTTTGCACCCTCGTCGTCAATGCTCTCCAGTCGTCATCAACTTCTATGGCCATTTGGCGAGCATCCATTATTGTTTGCGTCGTTGCTTCTGCTGAGGTGACGTTTTGTGCAGCTCCTATTGCCCTGGACGCTATTGCAGCTGCCTCCATAGCCAGGGCGGCCAACTGCATGTCCAGAGCCGAGCCATTTTGTGATGCTGCGATGGCTACGTCAGCTGCATTTTTGGCTTCGAGTGACGCCTCAAGTCCGGCATTCACTGTGGAGTTCAGGGTAAATTCACTATTACTCAGTGAGGTGGCGGCGCTCGCCGCTTCCTCTGCGGCAGTTAATGCGGCTCTGGCTGCTGATTCTGCCCCTGGCCCGGCTGCTGCTGCTGCTGCCGAGCTCGTTGCAGTTATAGCTGCAGCTGTTGCTGTCAAGCCGACCACGAATGAGTCTTGTGCTAAGCTAAGTGCCGTTCTTTGCGGAAGGTCTCGGATCATTTCTTTCGCTGTTTGTGTGGTTGTACTTGCAGATCTCGCTAAGATTCTTGTGGCCTCAAAATTGTCTGTAGTTCCTGCTACAATTCCTGTTGCTTCTGCCAGCAAGGCAACCTCTTCTGCAGACTGAATTGCTTCAAAGATTTCAGGTGTCAGCATGGATGACATCTGACGTGCAAACAATTCTGCCGCATTCCTGGATGTCACCACAAATTGTGCCGCGGTGTTGGAAAATTCATCTGTTCCTGCCGTCACTGCTCGTCTGGCCACCGCCGCCGCTTTAAGCGACACTTGTGCCGCTTCTAAATCAATCCCTCCTGACGATGATGCTGCTTCTGCCGCTTCAGCCACCGCTTCTGCCACGTCTGCCGCTCTTGCTGCGGCATCTCGAGCCTCCTGCGGCTCTGCCTCTCCAGTTGCAACAGATATTGCCGCACGATTTGCTCCCTCTGCGATGTCAAAGGCGATGTTGATAAGATCGTCGAGATCCGCTCCACTACCTGCCCGGGTAACTGTCGCCGCTGAGGCTGCCAGGGACACTGCTGCAGCTGCCAGGGAGGCTTCTCTTGAAGCTTGGATAGCTGCTGTTGGTGCTCCCGCAACTTCTGCCGCTGCGCCTGCGCTTTGTGCTGCAATTTGTACTTGGAGGACAGATAATTCACCAGCTAATTCAGCTTCTGTATCTCCATCAGTTGGTGCCGCAGCTCGTTCTGCTGTGTCGAGTGCTGCTCGAGCCTGAGATGCTGTTTGTTCTGCCAAAAAAGCTGAGCTTTCGACTGCCTCAATAGCTCGTTTTATGCTGGCCTCTACATCTACCGGTAAGTCGACTGAATTGAGTAATGCTTGGAGTTCTCGTGCTGCCATCTCAGCCTCTTGGTTTGCAATTCTTGCATCTTCTATGATAGATGCTGCATTTTCTGCAACAGCACAACAAGCTGTAATATTCACGGCTAAAGCAGTTGTAATTGCAGCTGATCTCGCGATGGTAGCTGCATTTTGCGCAGCTCCAGAGAATTGTAGTGCAATCAGGGCCAACTCCCCGCTTGCTCCCTCCGCAGCTTCTTGTGCTCTTTTTGCAGAAATTTCAGATGCCTCAGCTGCACTGTTTGCTGCGGCTGCTGCTGCAGCTGCACTTATTTTCCCTTGTGAAAATGAAGATGCAGCAGTGGCTGCCTCGTTTGCAAGAAATGAAGCATCTTTTGCAGCTTCTTCTGTTTGTGTTGATCCGCCTGATAACGCAGCTGTTGCTGCTGCAGCTGAACTCGCCAATGATGCTGCTGCTGACGCAGCAGTTGTGGATGCTGCCACAGCGGTCTCTGCTGATCTTCGGATTGCAACTTCTGCTATTGGTTCAGTGACTGTGCTATCACTTGAAAGGGTGCTGTCAATGCTCAGGGTGGTATCGCTTGAGAGCGTCCTGTCACTAATCTGTGTACTGTCACTGTTCAGTGTGCGATCACTCAAGAGGGTGCTGACACTGCTCACTGTGCTATCACTGGAAAAGGTGCTGTCACTGGAAATGGTGCTATCGCTTGAAAGGGTGCTATCACTGCTCAGCGTACTATCACTGGAAAGGGTGCTATCGCTTGAAAGGGTGCTGTCACTGCTAAGTGTACTATCACTGGAAAGCGTGCTGTCGCTCGAAAGTGTGCTGTCACTGCTCAGTGTAATATCGCTGGAAAGGATGCTATCACTTGAAAGGGTGCTGCCACTGCTCAGTGTGCTATCGCTCGAGAAGATGCTGTCACTGCTCAGTGTGCTGTCGCTGGAAAGGGTGCTATCGCTTGAGAGGGTGCTGTCACTGCTCAGTGTGCTATCGCTCGAGAGGGTGCTGTCACTGCTCAGTGTGATGTCGCTGGAAAGGGTGCTATCGCTTGAGAGGGTGCTGCTACTGCTCAGTGTAATATCGCTGGAAAGGGTGCTATCACTTGAAAGGGTGCTGCCACTGCTCAGTGTGCTATCGCTCGAGAAGGTGCTGTCACTGCTCATTGTGCTGTCGCTGGAAAGGGTGCTATCACTTGAGAGTGTGCTGCCAATGCTCAGCGTACTTTCGCTGGAAAGGGTGCTATCACTTGAAAGGGTGCTGTCACTGCTCAGTGTGCTGTCGCTGGAAATGGTACTATCGCTTGACAGGGTGCTGTCACTGCTCAGTGTGCTATCGCTCGAGAGAGTGCTGCCACTACTCAGTGTGCTGTCACTGGAAAGCGTGCTGTCGCTCGAAAGTGTGCTGTCACTGCTCAGTGTGCTACCGCTTGAGAGGGTGCTGCCACTGCTGAGTGTACTATCACTGCTCAGTGTGCCATCGCTCGAGAGAGTGCTGTCACTGCTCAGTGTGCCGTCGCTGGAAATGGTGCTATCACTTGACAGGGTGCTGTCACTGTTCAGTGTACTATCACTGGAAAGCGTGCCACCGCTCGAAAGTGTGCTGTCACTGCTCAGTGTGCT